GAGCATAAGCTGTCCATTAAGAAAAGGAAGAACCACCCAGGGGTTATATAAGGACAGCTGCTTCTAATCACCCTGTCTATTGATACACAGTGAGAAATCCACCTCCCCAAAGAAGGAAAATCAATATTTATAGAACAGCCAGCATTTCAAATAAACAGCAATTGTTATGACTATAGTCTCTTTAAAGTTCTTAAGCTTTTTACCTGTAACCAAAAGGGAAAAAATGCAACCATTTATAATAAGGTGTTCTTTGAAGAGGGATTTCTGTTTACATCAATTTATTTCAAAAGACTTACTGGGACAAGCATTCTGGCTCAAACTGAAGCAGCCCATTACTAGTGAAACCTGCCTAAGGCTTTAAGAGCCTACTGGGCTTTAAGAATCTGTGATGCCATAGTATTTGTAACCTTAAAAAGACAGCAGAAAGCACACTCAACAAATGTTGAAAATCTATTCCTCCACACTATTTCCAAGTAAATATATTTTTCACTTGTACACCCATTTAAGAAATGTAATGAGACACCACCTACTCTTTCAGTATTGCCAAATGGCTGGTGGGCATGGGTCCAGATAATTAGAACATATAGTATTATGAAAACATAAGATAAAATTAAGTCGCACATGTAACTGAGAGGAGACGGGGATGAAGAACAGGTAGTAAGCATAGATAGTAAATGATTAGGTCCAAAATATGAGGGTAGATTATCAAAGAAAAGTAAATGGGTTGCTAACACCTTTGATTGCATTTCTCTGCTCAACATACCTCATGAGATAGACACTTTCCAATACATGTGATTATTCTCTGGGTTGCTGCTTCCTGGCACTTAGGGAAAAAAAAAACAAAGAGGAGGTGGGAGTCTATAAGAAAGCAAGACACACCTACTCCAGCCTGCACCCAGTTCTGGGCCTGCCTTCTCTCAGGGGAAGTCTGCTATCTGCGCCAGGCTTGCTATCTTTCTTAGATAAAACTTGCCAATAGGTTTTTCAGGTGTTTAATCTTCAATACTGGGCAAATGAGGATCTGATCCTGATTTCCAAGACCCATATCATAGCTATTTTAGATCTCATTTTAAACATTAAATGAACTCGGGGGGTTCATTAGAAAAAAATCCAGAAGTATTTGATATTTAGGAACTTTTGTATCATGTTCCTCCATTAGATAATTTTATTGTCTGCCTAAATCATATTATGGTATTAACCCCGGAGAGCAAAATTTTATTACAATGCACACCTAAGATTAAAATCGTCAAACCCTAAGCATATAGGTAAGTCAGTAGGGCTTTCTCTTCTGATGGTCAATTCAGAAGAATGACATTCCTGACATATGAAAAGAACTCTTTTGCTCTCTTTTATCAGTGGGTCCTTAACCAGGGCTGGATCAGATGGTAGGACGACGGCTTTTTTCCTTCATTCATTTATTAATTTATTAATTCTAATCATTCAACAACTTTTTTTAAGGACTATAAAGTGACAGGAAAGCTGCTATCTACTGAAATATGGATATCTGAGCAGATAAAGACCCAAATGATAAAAATTAAGACAGTATGGCAGGTGATAACAATGATTGCCCTGGCATCAAAGTTTAGAGAATATACTTTTGGAAGGAAAGAATACCCATCTAATGGGAAACCTGATACATCCACAAAACCAATCAATAAAGTGGACAGGTATTATTTGTTCAAAGGCACTGGAAAGAAGCAGAGTTGTTATCATAATTCAGTTCACAAAGGTCTAGTACTTAGACACTGAGTTTTGGGCAACTGTGTAAGTGGAGAATAAAATTTGGTAATTGAAGTCCTAGAATAAAAAATGCAGAATCTCCTTACAAAATGTAATAGAAAGTTAACAGATACCCAGATGTTCTTCCAGAAAAAAACATAACAATTTCCTTGGTCAAAATGCTAAGCAGGTTTTAGGGACTCAATATAATATCTTTTACACTCTTTGGAGTTTTTCACAACCATACAAGTTTGTGTGCATATTATAGTAAAGGGTACGATTCTAAGTGTCACTGTGAAGGTCTTTATGTCCCCCTCACCATATACCCACCAACTTCTCTCTTCACAAACTTATTCATGACCAAAGGAAATGCAAAATTAGAAACTGGAAAATTCTAGGGAATAGCAAAGAAATGTATAATTTTCATTTTAAGTTACAGAAAATATCAGAATCTATAGCCTAAATAAATCGTGGCAAATTTTTTTTTTTTTCATAAAAAATGACAGATTCCTGACAACCTGAATAACCCACTTTATCTGTTTTTGAATGACCTGAAACCTGCCTCCGGCTAGAATTGTTTTTAGGCATCCAGCTCTAGGTTCTGGCCTACTTTTACTCTTTTCCACTGAGAAGCAATGCACTGTTTCATGCTTTTGTTTTTCCCTTTTGCCCGCTCTGGAGCAGGCTGATTCCATCACATTCAGGAATTCTGTCTTAGATACAAGCATAAATGCCCCAAAGGATGTTCCTGGATATTTTCAGCACATTCCCCAAGCGCCATTTTTCTGTTTTCTAAAATACCTTCTGGATTAAGAGAGCCCATTTTAGAATAATGACCTTCCTCATGATATTCATTATACTATAAACATTATCCTTTTCAGCATACACAAACCATCTCTGCTGAGAAAAACAAAGTTACCAGTTTCAGACACCATTTAAACTCTAAAAGCTGCCGTTCCATCATAGTTTCAGAAATGATTCATTTATCTGTCTTTTTAACTCAATGAAAAATTATGTAACAGATGAATGTTGGGGCTCAGAGAACAATACCCTCCATATAAGAAGGTATTGTGGAATAGTGGCACCCCCTTCCTGCACAAAAAATCTTAACTGGGCTTCTCCAGAAATCTTCCCCATGGCTGATTTTAGGACTGTCAGCAAAAGAGTCTCTACAAAAGAGTTCAATGTAGATAAACTTATATTTTCATATTGCTGCCCTATTTTACTTTGCCGCTAGCCTAGAAAAAATCAGCATTCCAGGTGCTGGACACACCCTTACTAAATTTTTCACAAACATTTATCCAGTATAATAGTTTGTAGAAATGTGTAAGTTGTATATAATCACAAGTAACACATGTCCTTCCTCCATTACTCCACTTCCTTATTCATATTTGAGCTTATATTATTTCTGTAAGGGATGACTTGAATTCAAAAAAGTATCATCAAAAGAAAATGAAAAGGTTACATAAATGTCACTGCCTTGCTAAAAATTTAACATGTTCTTACTGAACTTAGCTCCTTGAACATCTGGTCTATATTTCTGCTGTAAAGAGCATCATATCTATTCGTGAAGCTATGTTCTTGGCAATAACTTCTTGATATAGAAGAGGCCTGAAAGCATTTGAAAAAGTCCTTCTAATCAAACTTTTACACATATAATGGCCTAATTTTCCTTACTTGCATAGAATTCTGGGTCCTATTGTGAAAGCTCGTATTGTTTTCTTCATATTTATTTATAAAAGAAGAATTTAATTGCCTTATACGTGACTTCAGAAATGATATCATGTAAATTAGAATCCAAATTGACTTTTATAAGTCATGTAGTAGATTATATTAGAGAAAACAAGGTATAGGCATGGGTATTTTTTGTTGTTGTTATAGTATTTTAGTCAGCTTTTGCATTTCTATGACTAAAAGATCTGACAAGATCAATTTTAGGGGAGGGAAAGTTTATTTCCAGGCTCATGGTCTCAGAGGTCTCAGTCCATGGACAGCAGGCTCCATTCCTCGGAGCTCCAGTTGAGGCAGAACATCATCACAGAAGAGTGTGGCAGTGGGAAGCAGCTCATGTGGTGATCAGAAAGCAGAGAAATACTCCACTCCACTCTCCCAATTCAAAATATATACCCCAGAGCCACGCCCCCAGTGAATCACTTTCTCCAGCCACAGCACACTCTCCTCTAGTTACTCCTCAGTTAATCCCATTAAGAATAATTCACTGATTAGTTAGGGCTATAACCCAATTATTTCTTTTCCAAACCTGCTTGAATGTCTGAGCTTTTGGGGGATACCTCACATCCAAACCATAGCATATGGGTTATATAATAACACTGATGACCACTAAGCCTACATATTAAACCATTGAAAACAAAATGCTTACAACTATGTTATAAATATAGTTGAATTTCTGCAATTTATCCTTTATCTCCTTGTCTACACTTGGAAATTTGACAGGCAACCTTTCTCTTGTATAAGTTTCTCTTCTATCTTTACAATGTTTCTTTTTTTAATGCCTTAGTTTTATAGCTTTTTTGGAAATATGTAATGTGGCTATTAAATAAAAACTATAAAACTACAAAGAATTAATATAGTAATAATTCCATTCTATTATTAGTTTTACTATGCTATTATTCTTCCAAAACATAAATTTTAATGTTTAAGACATATTCTGTCTTGTTTCTAGAAAAATATATCATCCTTCCTTAATCAGATTTAAAAAAAATAAGGTATTATGAAACCATCTTTGCTTAAACACAAACATTTTTACTCATTTCTTTTTTCTTTTTTTTGGTACTGGGCATTGAACCAGGGGATAACCACTTAGCCACATCCCCACCCCCCCCACCCCCCCTTTTATGTTTTATTGAGAGGCATGGTCTTGCTGAGTTGCTTAGGGCCTCACTAAATTGCTGAGGCTAGCTTCAAACTTGCGATCCTCCTACCTCAGGCACCAGAGCCACTGAGATTACAGGCATGCACCACCACTCTCAGCAAATTTTTACTCTTAAATTAACTGATAAATGTCAATTAAATTTGGATATCTCTATGTACTGCTTGCTTTATTTGGATTGAGGGAAATAAAGGAGAATATAGAGATATTAACTTTCTCATTTTAAATTAAATTGTGTAGTACAACTTTCCAAGACATTTTTTCTGCAACATATGGTAATAAACACTATTTTATTTAAAGTAGTAGAAAAATAGGAATAGTGAAACACACATTGAGCATGTTTAAGTTTTTGTGTTGCTTGTAGAAGAAGAAAAATGTAAGAATTGCATACCTGGGGATATGATATAGAAGAAATCTTTAAATTCATCCATCCAAACTTCTGCCAGTCTCCTATTGTTCTTGTTAATGACATGACCAGTGCCACCAGGGAAAGTATAAGGGGTTGCCTTCCGAAAAACATGACCAACGTGGGAGCAAGTTACAATCTCCAAAGAGCCTCCACATTGCCAAATCTAGAAAAAGAGAAATCATTGTTTAACAGTTACTATCAAGAATGCAATAATAATGTATACGAAATAATTGAAAATTTGACAAATATTCAGATATTATATGTTTCAAGAAAATATTACATATATGCAAAATCTAGAATTAGCATACTTACATTTGGCAAGAAATGCTACTTTGGAAAATCATAATATACTGGTAGCTTTGGAATCATGGCGGTAAGATGTAATTGCAATAATGTCATTTTATTAGACAATCTAATTTCTTGTAGTTAACATAATTGCTATTTAATACATATTTGGTATCCAAAATTTTCAATGACGACTCTTGGAAGACATATTATATATTTCTTAATGTTCTGGGATTTACTATGCAGCTGAGGTTAAGAATTATGTAAAGTATCCACAAGACATTTATTTCTATAAAATTTTATTGTACGGCCAAAGATGCACAGACACACATACACATACACAGACACACACACACACACACACACACACAGAGTTGGCCTTCTATATTCATAGATTATACATCTGTGGGTTCAACCAACTAAGGATTGAAGATATTAGAGGTAAATCTCATCTGTACTGAATATGAACATAAATTTTACTTGTCAGTGTAACAAATGTCACAGACTTTATATTGTATTAGGTATTATAAATAATCTAGGATGATTTAAAGTACACAGGAGGATACGTATAGGTTATATGCAAATGCTATGCCATTTTATATAAAGGGCTTGAACATCTGCAGAATTTGGAACCCATGAGGGGTCTTGAAACCAACCTTCCAAAGTGGAATACTAAGAGATGTGTGTACACACACACACACATACACACTTACACATACACACATCCTACTACTACTTACACATACACATTCATATTACATATATATATATATATATATATATATATATATATTACTTATATACTGTAAGTTTCTTAAGGAAAAGTAATAGTTATTGCTATATGGAATTTCAATAACAGCTTTAGACTATTACTAAAGTCATTTTTATTTCATAAATATGATTTAAGAAGAGTTGCTTTTTTTTAAAAAGTCCTCCATTAATATGTAAAGTTTTATTATGTTATGTATAGGTTCAATTATTTTTTTGTAAAAGAAAAGGTTTTCTCCAATTGGCCCTTCAAGTAATGTTAGGCTTAGAAGAGGGCTTCTATTGGGCCTGGGATCCATTAATAGACATCCAAATTTTACCACAAGATGAAACATGATAATAAAATATCAGCAGCAATGGTTTATGAATTTTAGGTAAATCTATATTTTTTTAAAATTTTACTGTTATTTAAACTGTAATGTTAGCAGGAGGTTCTAATCAAACATTGAAATATTAAACAAGAAAAAGAAGAAAAATGAAATTCATCATTCCCCTCAAAAGATAGGCAATTAAATAATCAAAGTATTTAATTAATTTCTAACATGAAATCTATAAGCCTTCTCATAATTACAAATAGCTTTATATTCTTAGAATTAAAATGGAGAAAGTTGGTCTCCACTTATCAAATCAATAATTGCATAGCAGTCTGGATCATATCTCTTATGTCTTTTTTTAAGGATGTCACTAATTTATTCACCCCCTTGAAACATCAATCACTTTCCTAATTTCTTGATTATTTCTCTCTTAATATAACATCTTCTCAAATCATCTATCTTTCAAATAGTTAAAAAGTAAATAAATGAATAAATAAAATTACAAAAGAATTAAAAAATCAGCATTTGATCCACATCTGTATTCAGCATACCTCAGTTTTGCTTCCCTTCACTGTAAAATAATATAAAATATATCCTCTGATACATGTTATTTACTTTCCATATTTACACTCTATTAACTGTAAAATGCTTCTTATTTCTACAGCTCCTCCAAAATTGGTATTGTAAAAATTACAATTTTTTTTCCTTAGATGCATTATTTAGTAGATTCTTTTCTTGGATTCTCCTTTTCCTCCTCCTACTTCATTGTTTATCTACCTTCTCTTTAAATTTCTATTCAAATGTTAGCTTTCATCTCTCTTTGTACATTCAGTGGATGGTCTCAATTTGCTCCTATTATGTACATGTGATCAGAATACTAACAACCTCAATATTTACAACTCAGCCTAGACCTCTCCTCCAGGATTCAAACTTGTGTATCCAAACATTAACTTGGCACTTCCACTTGCTTGTCTCAGAGATATCCAAGCAGCTATGTCCAAAGTGGAATCATACAGTCATTCCTTTTGTGTCAGCAAGGTTTTATTTTATTTTATCCCATTATGTTGTTTTAATTTATCAATAAATAGTGTCAGTGTTTTCTCAGGGGATCAAACAAAAATAAACAGTAAGACCAAACTACATGTTATCGTTGATTCCTCTCTTCCATTTCTCATATGCATTTCCTGAACAAACCTTATTGTGGAACCATCTGTAAAACAATTCTCTGAATATCCATCTTTCCCATTCCACTTGGGCTGTTATAACAGAATTCCATAGACAAAGGCCAGGCAGTAGTTTAAACAGGAGGAGTGTTTTCCTCACTGTTCAGGAGCCTGGGAAGACCATGATCAAGTTGCCAGCATGATCAGTTTCTAATAAGAGTGTTGTTCTCCCTGGCTCACAGATGGCCACCTTTTTGCTGTGTCCTTACATGATCACACACACACACACACACAGACACACACACACACACAGAGATTGAGGAAGAGAGAGCAAGCACTGCAGTTGGGTGGCTCTTCCCCTTCTAAGAATATCAATGTTACTGGATTTGGGTCCCACACAATAATCTCAGTTAACTTTTACAAGCCCAAATGAATCTTATAGGCTTTTAAAGTTTCAACATACGAATTTGGAGGGTACATGTTTCAGTCCATAGCACCACTTCTCCATTTCCAATGCCAACACCCCTGACCTAATAAACATATTTGTATGCCAACTGTAATAGACTCTTAATTATCTTGCCACTTTCACCGTTTCTGTCTTACAATTTGTTTTGTTCTAAGAAATCAAAGTGGTCTTTAAAAATTTAATCATTTCATTTCATTCCCTGTTTAAATTCTTCAATGCCTTTCCATTGCACTGTGCATATAAACAAAATCCTTTAGCAGGTTCTCTAAGATCCCAATATGAGTATCTCCCTCTGTAAATGCTCATGGTGATATTGGCTCTTTGCCATTTCTTACAATAATGTATCACACGGTTTTTCACACAGCAAAGCCTCAATAACTGCTTCTCTTCTTCTTCTATTAATATTCTGGCAACTTTGGATGCTTATTTCTCATTCTTATCTCAGCTGAAAACACTACTTCATCAGACAGACCTGTATGCTGCTTGAGTGAAATGACCAAATGAATGACAAAAATTGACTAGCAAGTTTAATTATGAAAATTATGGCAGAATTATGAGATTTAAATAGAAATATTTTTGGAGGATTTTAAATTGCATTATTGAAAATATTTTAAAATATCAAATTAGGTGAAATAATTTAGTGAAATCATATATGTGCTGTTCCACAGGTCTTGGGAATTGAGGAAATTCTTTGGATGTCACAATAGAACAAAAACAATATAGAAATGTTTGGTGGTTCATGGTGACTGAAGGATCCAATCAAAGATGATAACACAATCATACACTAATCTCTCTTTTTTTTAATAAACAAACTTTAGTGAAATAATCAGGCACTTGTACCAGCACCAGGACTTTCCAAAAGGTGCCTAGAATTCAGAACATATAAGACATGGTTTGTTGTAGATGAGAATTTACATAAGGTCTTCTTATGATGAGGAATGCAGAGTTAGTGGAGTAGCTGTTCCTACTTCCTATGGGTTAGACACAAGTAAATAGCTTCTTTCCTTCTTCACAAGCTAAACAAGGAGCTAAGTGAGAGAAGGCAAGAGGGGCATTTCACTCTCAGGTAGTTACTTGCTGAACAAGTATCACTAGACTGTCTTAGTGCTGTCATTTGTATGGAGCAGAGTATGTACAGAAAGTTTTGGGGCACAAGTTCTTCCCCTCAACTGTCGGAGAAAAACATGACCCTAGTAAAATAGGTACAGAATTCTGAAGGTGGCATTGGAGTTATTGTACAGCTTCTTTGCAAAATAATTAGGTCTAGCAATGAAATGATGCTGGGAAGAAGGGATCTTTAACAGCAACTGGTCAAGAACTCAATGGTCTGGGCTCTAAATAGCATGGGTCATAGAAAAGAAAGAATGAGCTGTGGGATAAGAAATGTGGCAGATGAGCAAGGAAATGAGAAAGGCAGTTGAGGACCCTATGTTGTGAGAGAAAGACTAAAATCTTGGTCTTCAAAAGATCCTTGGATAACATAAGGGATAGGGTCTGAAGATAAACACAGTTATAAGGAAATAAAAACTGTGTATGGAAGATGACCATGCTGGTGGAGGCCATTACACAGAGCCAACAATGGGCAGTCATCATTCTTTAACCATCCCTTGGGATCCTAAATACTGGTGGAGGGGAGGCAAGTCCAAATCCATGCTCTTCCCCAAGCTCCTCTGTCATTATGAGCCTGGGGAGAAAACAGAATGTCAGCTACATAGTGTTTATGAAGTTTTGGTTTCAATATGTGAAAATAACCATAAACTCTAGTATCTGTCCTAAATCTGGGAAGGGCTGATCTTAGAGCATATAAACAGCTGGAGGAAAAAAAAAAATTATTTAAAATTCAGACTGTACTATAAGTCCTCTTACATATAAACCAGTGATTGACAGCTGTACTCAGAGTTCCTTATTTGCCTTTTTTGCAAAGACAAATCAGCACTGTGGTTGTGTGAGATGCCTAGAGCTCTATATTTCTACCCTGTAATTTCTTGGGCCTACCACAGTTTGTGGGCTTCTGGGATTTACTATATCAGGGCTCAAAACATGATGTCACAAAATATGGCACTTTGGCAACTGAGAAAATTGTAGAAACCAGAAGATCACTCTCATTTTTTCCTTCCTTATTCATCTGAAACATGGTGTTTTAGTTAGCTTTTTGATGCTGTGGCCA